GTGAATGGTTTTAATAAAAGCCGCTCAAAGAAGCAAAACACACTATATCGAAATAGGCACGGTAAAAATTATAACAGTGAAAGCTCGATAGGAAGATATAGGAAATGTGAATAGCCCACAGCAGAAAAGAAGAGACCACAACTGTTTAGCACATGTTTGGTCAAAGGATAGGCTTCATTTGTCTTTTTGACGAGTTGTTGAATGGTGCTAAGAATGGCAACACTCACTGACGATGCCGGCTAAACGTCTGGGAAAGTACTACGTCCACGGTCCGACTTTAGAAATGATGATGCATACAATGGACTCCGGACTAGGTGCGTTTCTCTAATTCTTCCTACCAATATGACCAAGTTGCGAAAACAAGGTCAAACAACTTCTAAGCAAAAGATAATTTTAAAACATAGACCTATATAGAATGGTTTTGCTAATTACCTTTATTGGGGCGACTTTCATTTCGTATGAAAGTGCATGAAGAAGAGATTCGTTGGTCGATCTAACCATAATTGCCTATGGAATTACGCAGTATCGGTCTAGGCTTTCTGTTGGGTCATTATTTCTTGATGATCAGACTATGGCATTAGCCTTTTGACAAAACTGACTTAGCACCGGCATTGCGTATAGACACTAACGCACACACACACACACTTTAGCAAAAGTAACAGGACCGATATGAAAGATAATTAATCAAACCACTCTATATCGATCTATCTCGGTTTTTTATTTTAGTTTGGTTTAATTCAGTCTATATAAGAAGTAAGATGGTGCCGGATAGTCTCCTTGCCCTGTTGTTAACGAGATACCTTTACAGGAATGAGATGATGATGTCCATTAAATGATGGACGAAAGATCAGCATGTTTTTACCCGAAACGAGGGAAGAAATCTCGTGGACTGCGTCAACATGTACATCGTATAAAAACTAAATGGCTGCAGTACAACGGGATTCATCCATCCTTATCTGGTGACATCGATCAATGAATCTCTTCTTCATGCACTTTCATAAGAATTGATAGTCCCCTTAACAATATTTTAGGAGATTCATCGAAACCCAGTTTCTCTTCATATCTATAATTGCCTTTATTCTAATCACCTTCTTTTGGATGGAGGTACAACACCTTCTCTCTACTTTTAATCTAGCAATCAAACATAAGTAGTCCTTACTTAACTTTCTTCCACCATTCTTCACATTAAACGTATTTCCTACCTTATTAATTTCAATAGCCTCTCATAACTTTTTTAACCCGCAGACGTACCATAATCAGCAAACCTACTAGTTTGAGAACATTTTATTTCATGCTTAGATTCTACCACGTGATTGGCTACTGCTGACCATTGAACCCAGCTTCCTTTACAAACATTTTTTGTTTGATAGACGTGACGTAACCAAAAAGTTCAATTTCTTAGCGCATTTAATAAAAGCATTACCATTCTGGATGGATTTAAGTTTAAATTAAAACCAGAGCGGAAAAGGTACACAGAAAACTGAATGTTATTAGCACAAGCTACAGCATTAGCTAAGTTCAAATTGATATAGGCCTTTCCATAAGCTAAAGGTTGATGATTTAGTGTAAAAAAAGCTGAAATGTATATGTGGTAATACGAATTTGAGTATCACTGGGATTACTTATAAGATCGTAACTTCCTTTGAAACAAGAAAGAATGAAATTTATTAGCAGAATTAAGTCTTGTCTTTAATTTGCCGTGGGCTAATCGGAGCCCCAAGTCAACAAACTTGAGCAAATAAACGGTGTTGGAAAGGATCAGACTATCCAAACATCGATTAAAATTTCAGTTAAGACAAATAATAAAATTATTTGACTGATTAGAAGTTACGAAGGCCTAAAATACATGGAAAAGATGTAAAACAGACATAGATAAACAGGAATGAACACTTTTTGTACTTGAGTGCGACGTAGTTCCAACATAAGAAAAAAAGATAAAAGCTGAAAATGAAGTTAAGGCTGTTAACAATGCTATCAAATAAGAGAAGAGAAAGGAACATACTGTTGCGGGTCCAATCAGAAGAACATTGCGGCTTTCAGCCAGTCGGATCATTCTACGAGTAAGGTTCTCAGGGATACCCTCTGCAATTATTGTAATGGCTGAGAACTGAGCCGCTTTGTTAGCTATTGTCTCACCTATATTGTCTATACTGATCGCTTCGACAGTGACACCATAGGCGACGCGTAGCGAGGCAAAATTTACCAGAACTCGAACATCGGGATGCTTGGGCACAGCGCGAGACAGTGACTTGTAGACAGGAATCAGCAACTCTTGAGTTCCCCAGTAAAACTTTGACTTATGCTCCTCACTTTAAAGAGGCAAATAAAGAAAAGAGCACTCTAGTACTTGAGAACAAGACAGTGATTACAGCTTGGAGTTAGCATGAAAAAAGAAGAACTAATTCATTAAAGTTTTAGTAATTAAAATGCAAATGATAAAGAATAGACGAAGAATTGTGAAAGTAGGTGGCAATTAAGAGATTTGCCAAAAGTTTGAAAGGTGATTTGACTTGGTTTTCGCAATTCGGTCGTATTTACAGAGACCAAAATGAACGAACTCTACCATGATATCCATAATAATTTCGAGTGTCGGACGATGGACTTGGTACCAAGGCCCTGAAACGAGGGAAAATGATTCGTTGGCCTCGTCAATCTGAACATCGCAGAAAAATCAAACTAATGCAGAATAACTGCAATTAGCTATGGTATTCTAGTT